GATGCATACCTTGTAAAATTCTGCTTCCATGGCCTGATCAATGCTGATACCACAACCTGCCGCCAATTCCGTCATAAGTTCTTCCTGTTCCTGTTTATCAACCTGCAAATCGATCTTCAACAACCCTATCTTTGGCATTGCAGCTTTGTTTTTCTGCTTGAAAACAAACCACATTCAGATTAATTTTGTTCTCCTCCAAAAACTTCACTATCTTTGGCCTGGTTGCACTCATGAAGCGAAATCTGAAAATCTAATTTTGAGTGCATAGGTTGTATTCGCTGGAATTACCGAAATCACCTGAAAAGATCCACTTCCTGAGTAACTAGCCATTTTGTAGACTCAGGCGAGCGACAGAAGGCGAGACGTAAAATGAAATGCCCGATGACGTCGCGTCGTCTAGCTTGCTCCAAATCAGCCGGCAGGCAAGTTCCTGCGAAAGTGATTTTTTATTTGAACGGAACTAAGAAGATAATTTTGGGTTCAGAGGTCCCTAAATTCAGGATGTAAACTATAAAATACAAAACTATCTACTACAGAATGTGAATGAGTACCTGCAGCAATCGGCATCACTTTGGAGAGTTCTCTGGTCATAGCATTCATGAAATCATTACTACCCCATGTAAATCGTTCTTTGACATCTTCGACAACCTAGAAAGAGAACTTCGATAATATTTGAAGTTCCCAAAGACTAACTCACCTTCAAAGCCTTGACTCGTTCTATAGCGATATCATCAAATTCTTCTATGCTGATCTCTTCGGATGGAGGAACAGCGTACATTTGAAGATTACTGCTATATGTGCGGTCCGAGTTGGAGATCTGTAAAGCAAACTTTATTTAGGGAACAGATTATTGCACTGAACTTAGTGTAGGTAATACCTTCACTCGTGTCGCGTTTGTCCTGATCCCATGTCGGACTATTCGGGATGACCCCGAGTCAAATTGCATTCTGAAAGATACGTCAAATTGGGAAGAATTGAGGAGTCATTTGCGCTAATTTAGCAGTCTAATTAAGAGAATCTCAGCTTTTGCTGTGATATGGATAGCGTTTTCTGAGCTGGTTGAGGAAACGATCATTGTTTCGCTGATTGTGAATTAACGTATGAGTTTTTCTACGAGCTCTACTGATTTCTCCCCAAGTTTGATGATCAGCTGATAGGATTGTCACACAAGCCTTAAATGGCTCAAAATTTCTGTGTTACCGCATAACTTATATATACCATCCTACGGATACCGTAACCTAGAGAGAACTGACAGAGCAAATCACTCAATCGTAAACAATATTCCGAAGATTTGCAGCGAAAATCGCGTTACTAACTCCCCCCACCTTGCCCCACAGTATGCCTACA